GGGGGGGGGAGGCAGAAGGGGAGGGGGCCCGGTGTGTTACAGGATGCAGCTGCCCGAGGGACCCGTGCTAGTTAAGAATCCCAACCAGGGTGTGCCCAGCCTGGCTGCATTCAAACGCCAGGAAGTTTCTGAGCTGGTGTGCAACAGCTCGCTTTGGGTGTGCGCTGCAATGGTGAGTCATCTTCCCGTGGTCTCGGTAGCACGATCGGAGGGCACGCAGGAACCTTGGTGCCGTGGCACACAGGGCAGTGGTTTCCAAGCCACGTCACACAGAGCAGTGGTTCCTCAAAATTGCACACTTGAAGATAGGTGGGCTTCCCCTAGTCAGTGTGATTTAAGTTGAGTGGATTAGCCTCTCCAGCTCAGGTCATATTTGGGACAAAGGTAATCTCCCCAATCTTTTTGGCTAACATCCTAACCCTCCGTGTCCCCCCAAAGACACAACCCCGCCAGTCCCCAAACTAAGCAAAATCCGAATCTCCTTAATTTGCAGAAAAAAACGAAGACATGTATCTTAAAATAATGTTAGCTTTATTAAGGTGAGCCCAGGCGATACAATACAGCCTTCTTTTCATTTCAGCCCCTGTGACTTGAATAATTTGAGGGGAAGGTTTCTTTCTTTGGGGCTCCCTCCATCTCCTTCCACTTCTCTCCCCTCCCCCAGTCAGTAAGGACCCAGCCTTTTGGGGGGGGGGCGTTTCGCTTTTATGACCTCCGTGTCTCCCTTTAAGCAACCCGGTTCAAGGTTGCCTGCAACCATTTTGCCAAAAGAAAAAATAAACCAGAGCTCCCCCAACCAACAATCCCCATTCTAAACCCAGTCCTCGACTTACGGCCAAAATAGAGGCCAGAATTTCAGGAGGTCGTTAAGTGAGTCGCGCCCGGCGCTATTGCCCTCTTTTTGCCTGTCCGGCGAATCGCTGTTCTTCAGTGAATCCCAGGGTCGTTAAGTGAATTGGGCTTTCCCCGTTGACTTGAATTGTCTGAAGATCACAAAAAGGGGGTTACGAGTCCCCGGAACATTGCCACTGTCGTAAAGGTGAGTCGGTGGCCAAGCGTCCAAATTTTGATTGCCGTAGGGTTGCCGCGACGGTTGTAAGTGTGAAAAATAGTTGTTATCTCTTTTTTTTCAGTGCCGTCGTAAGTTCGAACGGTCACTAAATGAACTGTTGTAAGTCAAGGACTTCCTGTGTTTTCCTGCTAGGAATGTCCCCCCCCCCTTTTTGCTCAATTTTTCAGCCACAGGTAAAAAGGAGCTGTCTTATTAAGACCCCTTTCACAGGATGACTTTTCAAGGTGCTAGACCTTATTGTTCCTTCCTTTCTCCCCGCAGCAATATCAAACCTATCCTATTAAACGTCAAGAGAGGCTCCTTGGCCAACATTTAAACAGCCACAGGGCGTTGGCACAAAGGAACAACCAACTCCCCGCCCCCCCAAAAAATATATATATTAAAAAATAAAATTAAAAAAATTAAAATAAAGACAGAATGCCAGAAAGAAAACATTATTCAGCCAGCAAAATAATGCAAAAAAAAGGACAGGATAGTAAATCAGATATTTAAAAAAAAAATCAAAGAAAGGAAACCAAACCATGATTTATCAGCCTTCCTCTATCCAAAAACCTCCAAGTATCATCTTTTGCCTTGTGGAGTGGAGTCTGGGCAACTGAATGGATTTAGCAGAGTGTTTACTGGCCGGATGCCCTTCCTGTCACCAGTGTGGAGTTTTTTTGTTCGGCAGATATATTCTCATTGTACCTCCACCTAAGGATCGAACTCACAGCCTCCTAATTGTGGGGCGGGGGCTCCACCTCTAGGCCATTGCACCGCTCCAAAAACCTCTGGGTATGTTGGACTACGAACTCCATTGTCCCCAGTCTGGGCTTCCCACGGAGTTGAAGGAAGGTTGTCTGAAGCGACGGGGCTAAAACCAGGCTTCAAATATATCGTCGGTTTCTGGTTTGGAGGCAGGTATCAGATCCTGGGGCATCTCCACAAACTATTTTGGGAGGTGGGCTTGTGTCCAATGTGTGTGTGTGTGTGTGTGTGTGTGTGTGTGTGTGGTTTATCGGGTAGGGGGCATTGCTATTGAGTGTGAATTGGGCAAACCCAATCCCCCCCTTGCCCCCGTTTCCAAATAAACCAGCATTTTTGGTTTAAATCTGACTTTCCATTCCTTTTTCCCTCCAGGGCGCCTTTCCTCTCTTTCTAGAGATGTTTAAATGCTAACCCCCTCCCCAAATTTCCTGCAAAAAAAGGGAGGGGGCTCGGAACGAGCAAAACCCACTGCCCCAATATCGCGCCCCCCCCCCTCAATTTCCCGACACTGAACAAATCAAAAATTGAAAATACAATCCGTGACGGGATTCCACCGGTGTAACTACCGCCTGAACTGTACTGTTACGGGCTGAATGCCCACCCCTGAATACCATAGAAACAGGTGGGAATTCTACCGGTTCAGACCGGTTCTATAGACCTGGTTGTTATGATTCTGCGCCGTTTGGAGAACTGGCAAATGGTGGCCCTGGTTGGCCACGCCCATCTCCGCCCTTCCCTTCCCGGTCAGTCCTTATCGCGCATGACCCACACCGCTCATGCGGGGTGGGGGTTGCTGCAAAAAAAAGAAGCCACGCCCACCCAGTCACATGGCCACGCCCGGATCCCAACCCCGGGATATAAATCTGGGGTTTTTAGCTCTGCTTGCAGAATTGGCCCCCATTCAAAGCTCCCCTCATTCTTCAAAGATTGGGGGAAGGGCGTAATTCTGGGACAAGCCTCGATTCCCATCGTCCCCCACCAACCAGCAATGGGAAAGATGGGAATTGTAGTTGTAGCGGGAAAGACTTACAACTCCAATTGGGGGCCAGGATTTCCACCGCTGTGTGAGGAGGTCGTTAAATGAGTCATGTCTGATTTTTTTTTTTTTTGCAACCTGCTTTGCCACGATGATTAAGCCAATCACTCTGGCCATTAAGTGAATCGCGCCCAGTTTTGTAACCTCCTTCTTCCTCACAGTGGTTGGTTAAGCAAATAATTGCAGCTGTTAAGCAAATCAGCCGGTCATTAAGCGAATCCAGATCTCACAATTGCCTTGACTGGTCAGAAGGTCGCCAAAAAGGAGAATGGCAGGGACCCCGGGACGCTGAAAATGTCATAAATAGGAGTCGGTGGCCAAGCGTCTGAATTTTGATCACGTTTAGTGCTGCTGTAACTCAGGACGGTCATTAAACGGAACCGTTGTAAGTCGAGGACTGCCTGCACCGCAAAAGGTGGAATGTGCAAAAAAGGATGGAAATTTTTCTCCATCCGCGAAACGCGAAGTGTCGGATCCCTTCCTGGCCCAGAAACCAGCAATCGTGGTTTGGGACGATAAGGATTCCCGGCCTTCAGCAGATGGTGGCATATGGGCCATCCAGCACCTGGTAGCGGATCTTGGTGTTGGTGACGGCGCCGTGTTTCTGCCGCAGGTGCAGACGCAGCTGGCTCTTGTGGCGGAAGCGCACATGGCACTGCTCGCACTGCGGAGAGGAAAGATTGGGGGGTTGGTAAAGGGGGAGGGGGCAAAGCAATGGCGGAGCTGGTCAGGCGGGGTCTGGCTGGTTTTCTGGGAGACGTTTCATGACCCGACTGGGTAACATCATCAGTGCAAAGAAGGGTGAGGGGTTTGCGGAGAGGAGGAGGAGGATTGGGGGGTCCTTGGTGGCCTCTGAGATTGGTGGTTTTCTTGGAGACGTTTCATGACCCAACTAGGGAACAACATGGAAGGAAGTGGGGTATGTGGAGAGGAGGAGGAGGGAGAGGGGGAGGAGGAGGAGGAGGAGGAGGAGGAAGAGGAGGAGGAGGAAGACTGAGGAATTCTGGGAGTTGAAGTCCACCCACCAAATTGGCAAGGCTGAGAAAAACCCTTCTAATGTCATAACTCGACATAACTTGCTTCCTCCTCTCGTAGAGCCCTGATGATGGTACCTAGCTTGGCAGCGAGACGTCTCCAGAAGCAAGCCAAACTGGGTGACCCCAAGACCTGAACCCTGAGCTCCCTCCCTTCAGCCCCCTCGATTCTTCCCCCTCCCCACTGTTCCCTTTAAGCCTCGCTCCCAAAAGCCCACCCTCCATTCAACCACAGAGAACTGAGATGCCCAACCTCGCCCAGTCCCCTCCCCCGGCCTGTTTCTCCCACCCACCCCAAGTTCTCAATGGGGCAGCTGCACCCCCCCCAGGGGAAAGACACCCCCTTTCGCCGCTCACATGGTAAGGCTTCTCCCCGGTGTGGATGCGGAGGTGGCTTTTCAGGGTCTGCAGGTGTCGGAAGCGGGTGCCACAGGTGCCACAGGGGTAAGGCTTCTCTCCCGTGTGGATCAAGACGTGGGCTCGGAGATGCGCCACCTAGAAAGGGAGGGAGGGCACAGTGGGGAGGAACGTCCAACGAAGCCCCCTCTTTTGGGGGGGGGGGGGGAAGGGGCATGTGCCCACCCCGCACACTTCCATAGGGTGCATAACCCTGCAAAGGTGGAAGGGTTGGAAGGAGAGTCAGCCGGTTCGCCAAGCTGCTCAGAAAATTAGCAACCAGGTCTCCCGAACCGGTGTGAACCACCTGAATCCCACCATTGGCCCATTGATACCTGGGACAGTGAGGGCTAACCTTTTCGTCGCCATGTGCCGAAAGTGTGCACATATGCGCATGCCTGCACACACGTCTGCCTGCACACATAATGCAAGGCGCATGCACCCCCCTCCTACTTCCCTCCCCACTCATGCTTGTTTGACGCCCCCTGCGCTACCCTACCCTCCATACATGCTTGTGTGACGCCCCCCTGGTGCCGTGAAACTGGCCCGAAAAAAAACAGGGGTGTGTGTGGGGGGGGTTCAGTGTGCCCCCCCCTCCTGGGAGCAAAAATGGGCAGCGGAGGGGCCACACCGAACTCCTCCACACACCCCATTTTGGGCCTAGTAGGCCTAATTTTTTTACTACTGGTTTGGTGGGCGTGGCTTGGCTTGGTGGGCGTGGTTTGGTGGGCGTGGCAGGGGAAGGATACTGTAAAATCTCCATTGGCACCCCACCCCACTAACCTGCTTTCCAGCTCTGTTCTCCTGTGCAGGGCAACCAAAGAAGACCCAGCCGATCAGCTGGGACTCGACGGGAGGCAGGGAATAGATGGGGGCGGGGCCAGTCAGAGGCGGCATTGGCCGGTTCTCCGAACTACTCAAAATCTCCGCTACCGGTTCTCCAGGACTGGTCAGAACCTGCTGAATACCCACCTCTGCTAGTAGGCCTCCCTGCAGCTATTTTTCGGCCCAGTTTCGGCTGCGGAGTGCTGCAGGAGGCCATGAGGCGTGGGGGTCGGGGGTCGGCGCATACGGCCCGTTTTAGCCACCAGAGGCACCGTGGACCAATCCCTTAATATTTCCAAGCTGGCCCACAGGATTTAAGCACCCTGCGGGCTGTTTTGGTCCCGCAGGCCTTGAATTTGATGCCCCTGTCGTAGAGCCTCCATAATCAGGGATAGTCTACCTCCGAAGAGCACACCGCAAGACAGGTTGACGCGCTCCCGAAAAGCAGGATGCTTGCTAAATGGGGTCTTGTTTTTTGACACGTGGAGCAATCCTGACGTTGTTTCGTTTTATATTATTTCGTTTCAACTCAATTCATTTTAAATAAAATATAACTCTTTTGAGCCACTGAGCAATTGCGTCGTTTCCATTTTAAATGAAATCATTTCAGTTTTAAATTTTTGGACCCACTGAGCAAATCCTGATTTTCTTTTGTTTTATTTTATTAGTTCTTAAAATAAAACAAACTGTTTGACCCACTGATCAATCCAGATTCTTGATTTGTTTCATTTCTAAATAAAAATAAAATAAACAAACTTTTTGGACCCACTGAGCAATCCTGATTTTCACATTTTATGGATTTTATTATTTCTGCAAACAAACTTTTTTTTTTGACCCACTGCTTTTATTTCATTTTATTTATAAGTAAAATAAGCTCTGCCATTTCCACATTCTTGTGTTTTTAAAGGGATTGTGTTTGCAAAGGATGTTACTCTGCAAACTTTGGGGCTTGCAAATGATCCCCTCCTGGATAAGCTGAGAAATAAATAAAAAAAAACACACTTTTGAAATAAATTTTAAAAAACATACTTTTGAAATAAATTTAAAAAAACATACAAACTCCTGACATGAGTAGGAACATCTCAAAAAAAAGAAGAAGAAAAAATCCAAATTTTAGGGGCCGCCCTATCCCTTGAGCGTAAAAAAAGGGAGATTTGTAGTGGTGGCAGCCATTTTGACTTTTTTGACCTACAGGGCACACTTATCGAGTGTGATTCCCCCACGGGGGTCTCCTTACCTGTACAAAACGAGCCTCACACATCTCACACTTGTAGGGTTTCTCTCCGGAGTGAATGCGCAAGTGCGTCTTGAGATTAGCCGGCCGGTTAAACTGGGCCCCACAGATGGCGCAATGGTAGGGCTTCTCCCCTGTTGGAACACAGTAGGGGGAGGGGGTTTGGAGCATCAAACCCACCCATTGGCCCTTTGCTCTGTCCATCTAACGGGTTGTAGATCAGTGGACTCCAACTCCCAGAATTCTGGGAGTTGAAGTCCACCCAACTTAGGAACGAAAACCTTCGGTCATTTCCCACGCAGTCCAACCACAGCACCACCCCCTCATTTGGTCTTGAGGTGCACAAGCTTGTGCCCTTTGCACGCCCACCTGCGTGCAAGGATTGGTGGCTTGCCAGGTTCCCCTTGCAACGGAAGGCAGAGCGGCAGAAATGGCATTTGTAGGGTTTCTCCTCTGCCCCCTGGCCGGCGGGTGGGCTGCCTCCCTCTTCTTCATCCTCTTCTTGGAGATATTGCAGATCACAGGCCTGGCAGCTGGAGGATTTACTGTCTGGGGAGCAAGGAAAGAAATGGACACCATCTTTCTCTTCCTCTCTCTCTCTCTCTCCCTCTCTCTTTCTTGCTCTCTCTCTCTCTTTCTCTCTCTTTCTCTCTCTCTCTCTCTTTCTATCATCCATATACCATCCATCATCTATTTCTATCATCTATCTGTCATCTCTCTCTCTTTCTCTCTCTTTCCATCTAGCCGTCTGCCTGCCTGCCTATCATTTATCTATCTATCTACTTATCTATCTATCTATCTATCTATCTATCTATCTATCTATCTATCTATCTATCTATCTATCTATCTCCATCTCTCTCTCTACCTTTTATCTATATCTGTCTGTCTATCTGTCTGTCTCTCTCTCTAATCTATCTATCTATCTATCTGTCTGTCTGTCTGTCTGTCTGTCTGTCTGTCTGTCTGTCTGTCTATCTATCTATCCATCCATCCATCCATCTATCTATCTCTATCTAACATCTGTCTATCATTTATCATCTATCAATATATATCTATATATCTATCTGTCTATGCATCTATCCTATCTATCATCTACATCTATCACCTCTCTCTGACTATCTTCCTGTCTATTTAGCCGCCTATCTATTATGTGTCTATCTACCTATCTATCATCTATTTGTATCCATCTACAAATCTATTTGTGTATACATCTATCATCTCTGTCTATCTTTCTATCTCTGTCTATCTTTCTATCTCTGTCTATCCTCTGTCTATCCTCTGTCTATCTATCTATCTATCTATCTATCTATCTATCTATCTATCTATCTATCTATCTATCTATCTATCTATCTATC